TAGTATCAAAAGCACGGGCGGGGCCAAAAGCCATAGATCGCTCACCTAAATTTGGAAAAGGTGAATATGCTGGTGGTGCTTCTTCGGTTATTATGTCATGCATGGTAGTTGAAGAATTGTTGCTATGTTGTTGAGACATTGTTCAAATTAAAATTGTATATCGATATTTATTATATTTATTGTAAATTGTCGTTGAATATGAATTGGGAGGTTTAACGGTATTAACGGTTGAATTCATTAGAATATGGGTGATTTGTCACACAACTTAGTTTATCATTGATGTTACATATAATACCCCAATAGAATCCTATGCATTTTTTAATCGAAAAAATTTTGATTTCTTTAATTCTTTCAGTTCGGTTTTTAAAAAAGAAGTAGAAATGTCAGAAGAATACACAGGAGCTATAGGGATCGACTTGGGTACAACGTACTCTTGTGTTGCCGTGTGGGAGATTGAACGCGTTGGTAAGACAAACCGACGTAAAAAAAAAAAAAAATGTATATATTACCTTAAATAGATCATACATTATTTAAATTCTGTATTTAATGCTGGGTAGAAATTATCGCCAACGAACAAGGGAACCGCACAACGCCTTCTTACGTGGCTTTTGCTGGTAGTGAACGCCTTATCGGAGATGCAGCTAAAAACCAAGCTGCTATGAACCCTAAAAATACAGTATTTGACGCGAAGCGACTAATAGGCCGTCGGTTTGATGATCCGGAAGTAAAATCTGATATAAAACATTGGCCTTTTACTGTTATCGATAAAGATGGTGCGCCATTAATTCAAGTTGAACATCAAGGTGAAAAAAAAAATTTTACTCCTCAAGAAATATCATCAATGGTATTGACTCGTATGAAGGTGATCATTATTACTATTTTTATTATCACATTCGTGTTACCTTCGATTTATGGTTTATATTCTAACTTCGATTATACTATCACTTATAATAGGAAATTGCTGAAGGAAAACTTGGAAAAAAAGTTAAGAAGGCCGTGATCACAGTTCCAGCATATTTCAATGACTCCCAACGTTTAGGTATAAAATTTATATTCTTATGATAATATATTAACAATATGCACTATATTAATTTTTTTTTTCACCAATATTTAATAGCAACAAGGGATGCTGGTACAATCGCAGGTCTTGATGTACTCCGAATAATCAATGAACCAACGGCTGCAGCAATTGCCTATGGTCTTGATTCTAAAGAAAGCAAAGAAAAAAATGTGCTTATTTTCGATCTCGGAGGTGGGACTTTTGATGTTTCTCTTTTAACGATATCAGGTGGTGTATTTGCGGTCAAAAGTACCGCAGGTGATACTCATCTTGGAGGTGAAGATTTTGACAATAACCTCCTTGAATTTTTTAAGCAAGAATTCAAACGTAAACATAAACATGATATTTCTAATGATGCTCGTGCCATACGTCGTCTAAGAACTGCATGCGAACGTGCAAAACGAGCATTATCTTCAACAACTCAAACCAATGTAGAAGTTGATTCATTGTTTGATGGTACTGATTTTCAAGCCACTATAACTCGTGCCAAATTCGAGGAATTAAATTCTACTCAATTTAATTCTACTTTGGAACCTGTTAGAAAAGTTTTAAAAGATGCAAAAATGGAAAAAAAGGACATAAATGAGATCGTCCTTGTTGGCGGATCTACTCGTATTCCAAAAATTCAATCTCTTCTTCAAGACTTTTTTGATGGAAAAGAGCTTAACAAATCGATTAATCCAGATGAAGCAGTTGCTTATGGAGCTGCTGTACAAGCAGCTCTTCTTACTAATCAAGCTACCAATGAGAAAACTCAAGACCTCTTACTTTTGGATGTTGTACCGCTTAGCTTAGGAGTAGAAACTCAAGGTGGTGTAATGGCTGTTGTCGTTCCCCGAAATTCACCAATTCCTACTATTAAAAAAAAGATATTTACTACCGCTGAGGATGGACAAACTATTGTTGAATTTCCAGTGTACGAAGGAGAACGACCAATGTGTCACGATAATAACCTTCTAGGATCTTTCGAATTGTCTGGAATTCCTCCAATGCCACGTGGAGAAGCTGAACTTGAATGTACTTTTGATATTAATGCGGATGGAATACTCAAAGTCACTGCTAAAGATAGAGCTACTGGTCGCAAAGCTAACATTACTATTTCAAATTCTGCTGGACGGTTGTCGGCTACGGATATTGAACGTATGATTGCTGAATCAGAAAGATTTAAAGATGATGATAAGCAATGTCAAGAACGAGTTGAAGCAAAACAGGAGCTTGAGAATTATGTCTATCAAGTATGTTTTATCGTTTTGTTAATCCAAAAAATATATTTACGTTAATATATATTTATGTATTTTGTTCTGCACAGATTGAAAATACACTTAATGAACCTAACGTTGCAATGAAATTAAAACGAAATGATAAGGAGGCAATTGAAAATGCCCTTTCAGGTTCGAATATATGTCACTATTTTAAAATCAATTAATCAAAATTTAATAATCATTTATTTTTACAGAGGCACTCGAATTTCTTGATCTTGCTAATGATGCGTCCATTAATAAAGAAGAAATTAATGCAACTAGGAAGAAATTGCAACGTAGTGTTACTCGTGCATTTGCATCACTTAATCGCTAATAAAAAAAGACAATTTACACTCAAATTGACAAGGCTACGATCTATTAAATAATAACAGAAGTAGCGCGTCTCTATAAAAATAACATAGTTACTCATGATCAAAGTGATCAAATTTTTAAGAGAAAATTCAGTCATTTATTTTATTTTATTTTATTGAATTTCTAAATACATGGCCAATCATTCTGGCAAGCATGTACATAAATAATAATAAAAAGTTTTTGTTGCGATGGCACACATAGATGTACCATTAGAAAAGGTATAATTATATTATACAATAATTAATTAGGTTACACATAAACTCCAACAGCCATTGACAAGAACATACTTCCAACTCCCAATAAAAAGGAAGCTACGATCGCAGATTGAATTTCATTTATTATAGATTTTCGAGCCGGAATTCTATAATAATTATATATTATTAAGGAAATGCTAAAATGCAATGACACAAAAATACCGTTTCTGACTGGGTAAGTAAAAAAAAGATAATTTACATATTGTTCTTGATAGATGTTCTAAAAAGAATCTTTAAAAAAATGCCAATTACTACATAAATGAAAGTAACTGGCCTCGGGTTCTTTTTAGATCCCTATCGGGAACAGTATGCAAATATTTTTTTTTCTAAGAACAGTACCACCAATCCATCAGAAATAGTATCTTTGGTATAGTGATAATTATAAAAAGAATAATGTAAATTTCACAATATATAAAAGGATACACCGAGTACGCACTACTTGCTATAAATCCGAATACTAACAGTAAGAAGGCTATTAAGGGGAATAAATTCTTTTGGACTGGTGGAGTAAATGGGGTTGAACCTTGCCAATCTATCTGTTTTTTCGGAAAATTAAAAATAAAAAAACGAGTTGTTAAAGAAACGTAAATATAATTTTTCTTTTAAAAAAAAGCACCCACCAGAGTCGACATTTTTAAAGCTAAACGAGGAAATTATGGTCTTTGGTTATTTATATATAAAAAAATTGATTGGCCTAAATTAGACTGTGCAATATGCGTTATGACGATAACCTTTAACAGGAAATATATTTTTTACCTTACACGTGGCTCAATATTTTCCCTCCAAGTTTCTATTGGTCTGGATAAAATCGACGACTTTAATAACGTGATATCGTTGTTCGAACAAAACTTGGTAATAGAAAAAGGATCAAATTTAGTAATGTTTTTTTTGAAGGTTTATAATTTCATATAGCATTTGTTTAGCCCGTATAACATGAAATTTTGGTTAATAATTCTGGTATTACGTGGAGATACGTATATATATATACGTAGTATTTTTTACTATATATATATATATATATATATATCGTAATATCTTAATATTTAATTTATTATTACGTCTTTAATTGCTAATTCACGAAAGAGATATTGTCTACAACCAATTTACCGATCTTATTAAACCCACAAAAACCAGCTTTACAACTTTTATTATAAGTACACAGAAGGTCAACTTAATAAAAATTGACTTTATATAGTAGGGAATGACAACTCTATACGTATTCCCGAAAATAAGCACCACACTCTCTGCCCTTAAAATCTCAGATTAACGGGAATAACTTGAGTAAAACTTTATTGCTATTTCCGCTAATCTGAGGTCTAAAAAGTAAGGTAGAGGGTGTGGTGCTTATTTTCGGGATTTTACGGTAATATATATTTACTATAAAAATTTATTAACAGCATTCTCTTTCTTTCGTGAACTATCAATTAAATATTATAAAAAAATAAATTTTATTAAAAATTTAATCATTAAATTTATGATCCCCGATTACGATTAGGAAATATTAAAAACAATTGAATACGTATAAATAGCACACTGTATATTTACTTTAATTTATATATTAAAAAACCTTCAGAATTTATATTTAGCTGAATAATTAGAAAAATTAATAAAATTTTAAAATGAAAAATAAAATTTATTTATGTGACTTAAGAGACGATAATAGATATATAATAACGAAAACCCCATTTAACCCAAATGAATTTATTATCACAAATAAGAAATATAATAAGAAATATTACAGAAAACCTATAGTAATATGATTACTCTTATCCCGTCTAAAACTATAAAACATTAATCATGATATATAAAATAAATCAAAAAAATGTAATCTATTGCGAATAAATAATATCCACATTAATAAAAAAAGTAAAAAAGGTACAGTCAACTCTTTTTATAACGAACTGTTGGTTCTGGCTTTAAAAAAAAAGTTCGCTATATAAAATTATTATGTTTTCTTAAGAAACCATAACTCTTTTTATACCGAACTAATATGAAATTCAAAAAATTTTAGTTCATTATACCCAGAATTTGTTATAGAGAGGTTCGTTATAAAGGGCGTTGACTGTCTAGATCTCAACTATTAGGCATCGACGTGTAAAAATGTGGAGGATTTGGTCGCTATTGAGAATAACATCAGGCATTTCACAGCATCAAACAGAGATATAATGAAAAGAATTAGTAAACATTAAGAAAAACAAAAAACAGTATAACTTGCTTTATTCATCAGTTAATAAAAAAAAAACCTTTAAGAATTTTTCCACGAAAGGCTTCACGAAAGCAGTGATAAGTAGCCCAATTGTTATAGTAATGTAGAAGTATACAATAGCTTCATCTTTATTTGAATCACGTTCTGAAAAAATAAGATTAATAAGTTAGAATTCATAAAATAAATTGTAACATATATGTATAATATTTTTTCCTTGATCATCCCAATTAGAGATCGAACCGTTCGAAATTTTGTTTTTATTAACTTTTTGACCTATTATGATTGACCAATTGGATTGACAGTCAATGGTTGAACGGTTCCAATCTCTAATCTCAAGGAACATAACGCATCTCAAATAGAAGTTATTCAAACATACCAAAACATGTAGCAGTAACTTGTATTTCACACCCTTCTTTTCCTGTACCAAGTTCACCAGCGAATTTTCCATTAGCCTCGGAACAATTTTCTTTCATATAATTTTTACAAAAAGTCCTATTACATTCTGCACAAATTTGACCAGAGTTTAACGCAGCTATTGTTGTATTCTCAGCACAAACACATTTACAAAAAGAAATTACATTTGCAGCATTAATTACAGTTGGTATTAATAATAATATAATAAGAAGTAAATATGTTATAATAGATAAGGTAGCAAGACGTGATATTAATGATGGTCGCGACATTGTTTAAATAAATGAAGATATCTTGTATGTTTTAAAATATTTGGAAGAAATATTTGATTGGCTAGCTAAATTCGAACGTTGTACAGTAATACGTATTAGAAAACAAATTAACACAAGTTTTAGATGTTTTTAGAGTTACTTTTTTGATAGGTTATTGTTAATGAGTTATATAGATATCAAGAATATAATTTATGCTATGTAGATCAGTAGGTAATAACGTCGGAATATTGTAGATTTACTTTAATAAGATAGGATTTATTCATAACACAGTGCATTGCAAATTAATTTAATTTAATTTAAAAGCATGACACGAAGTTTTTTATCTATGACTAGTGGGATAGCAACTATTTCTACAGGGTAGATTTTTGCAATTGCATTGCCCGGTTTGTTGAATATCTACTTAAACATAACCAAACATAACCAACCAGATCATAGCTTTATTTGCGTTGATCCTTTAAGATTTGAAAATTTTTAGAATGATTTCTTGGTAATTACTTGATCAAATTCGGTAAAGATTTTTTATTTTAATTCTATATATTTATAAAATTAAAATAAAAAAAAAACTATTGAATTTTGGTTAATAGATGTCAAGAAATCTTCGGTAAAAGTTCAAAAAATCCTTGAATATCTAAGAAAATACTAAAATCGGGTGAATTTTTCTTTTTTAAACTTTGTTCGAAGATTTCTTGACACCTATCTATCCAAATTCGATGGATTTTTTAATCCTATGAGTCTATAGAATTAAAATAAAGAATTTTACCGAGAAATATTCATTAAACTTAAGAAAAGAAATTTGCTGCAGTTTTTATTTTATAGATACTTAATGATTAATGATATCCTATTGACTAAATCAATAAAAGACAATAAATTAGTACAGATAATAAAATTAATAAGAGGTACGTCAGATCTTCAATTATAAAATGATTACTCGACGCTTACCTGATCAAATTCGTTCAAATTTTATATTTTATTTTAATTCTATAGATCCATAGAATTAAAATAAATAAAAAAACTTCATCGAATTTGGATATCTTCAAAGTTTAAAAAAGGATAAATTTACCCGATTTTGGCTTTTTTCCTGATACTCGAGTATTTTTTTTAAACTTTTACCTAAGATTTCTCGACAACCATTAAACCAAATTCAATAATTTAATTCAAGTATATAGAATTAAAATAAACAAAAATTCACCGAATTTGATCAAGAAATCATCGATAGAAATTATAAATCTTAAAAAGTACATGCTTCTACCTTCTTCCCAAAATTTCTCAACGCTGTATGATTTTTTATCCCCCTTAAAAGATTAACTCAATGCAGTTAGTATTGAATCTTGCAAAATTTGATAGAGTTGTTACCCAAATAAAATTTCTTGTTCGTTCATCAGAATGCTTGGGCGCCATTGACAAACTAAACAAGCAACAGGGACTTATGCATTGATCTGGCTCAGGGACCAACCAATGTGTTTAGCAATAGACAGTGGCATCCTGCCAAAGGCTTACAAAAGCTCATGGCTTGTCAGTGGCTATTGTTACCGAACCGAACAAGCAACAGGGACTTATGCATTGATCTGGCTCAGGGACCACCCAATGTGTTCAGCAATAGACAGTGGCATCCTACCAAGACCCAATAATGGAATAGAGGATCAAGGCTCGGTATACAAATTCCAAGCATTCTGATAAGTATTTACATTCGTTATATTACTTAAGAAAAAGTGCTGAGTTGTTGTATGATGGCTTAATTGAAAAAAAAAACCAATAAAATAATAAACAATTTAAGCATTTCACCTCGAAATTGGATAATAATTCTTGAGCCTTTGTCATCTTAGAATTTCCATATGAGCTGGTATTACTAATCTTTTTGAGAAGTGTCTTCCAGGCGCTATGTTCGAACTCCTTGTCTGAAAAATCAGAAAACCTTGATCATTCTAGGAAATTAACAAGCGACCAATCCGACAGTTCAACTTCCTCAAAGTAGTTTATTCTTGGGATTGTCTAATATATAGAATAGGGTTATATTGGGTTATAATATTGTATAACAGTTAAAGTGTAAAACGCGACTCACGGCGTCCATGTGCACGTAAAATATACACTAAAATAAAACAAATTGGTTTTTGGTTTAATTAAGATCAAAAAAATAACAGTCAAAATTTTTTATACTAAAGATTGTTCTAATAACACTTTTAAGATTAGTGTCTCCAGATGCTTTGGTGTAACCACTTTCATATTCGTGCTACCGTATTTTCGCGTAATAACGCCCATGAGCGTTATTTCGAGGTTCGGCCCGAATTAAGCTTAATTCGGGCCGAAA